TTTTTTTTTTTTTTTTGGATGCTGGCATCCCACCAACAGGATTGTACGTCTTTCAGAATTGAATTCAGAAAGCCGTTTAAATTCCTGGAGTTCATTTGAATTGTGGATGAAGAATTACATTTGAATGTATAATTAAAATGAATTGATATTCAAAGAATTCATATACAAGATGCACAATTTCAGTTTGAATTTAAAGTAGTATAATTAAAACAAACTGATATTCAAAGAAATGCATATAACCATGAAGCAAGAGTTAAAAAAAAACAAGATCTTGTCCAAAAGTTTTGAAAAAAGCATTAAAAAATCCTTGAATTAAAATATAGACAGACAGACAGACAGACAGACAGACAGACAGATAGATAGATAGATAGATAGATAGATAGATAGATAGATAGATAGATAGATAGATAGAGTCCTTAGAGCCATTTACTGGCACATCTAAGGCGAACCTTTCCAAAGTGTATGTTTTTCACAGTACACTTCCATTTTTAGCTTAGACTAAATAAGGAGCCACACAATAACTATCTGAAAGTATTGACGTGATGCGAGGATGGAGAATTATTGTGGAGGCACAACATCAGCAGCGCCTTTTTCTTTAAGCTATTTTAGGCATCGCTCATTCAAGTGGACTATCAGAATATGCATGTGAAAGAGGTGTAAGATGCTGTGTTTGGATATGTAAAATAGTTTAGAGACAAATTTATGGTAATATGGTGAATAAATCATAATGGTTGATAATGCAGATGCTGTGAGCTGAAAGTGTATATAGATTTGTGTGGGTTGGGGCAGGGGATTGAAGCTGACATTACAAATGTATGCATTTCAGTGAATCTCTCTATTTATGTGGATATGTGAGAAGAAACCTTTACTCATGCTCCTGCTCATGGAAACACATTTTTCTCCTTCAGACTCACATCAGAGGGTTTTCCCAGTTGTGATGTCGAAGCCAAGGGTGAAACTGAAATAAATAATAGTTTTTTGTTTATTTTGAGTTATTTGAACATTAAGGTGACACATTTGTACAGGACATCTGAACACATGGTGGAAAATAAGATAGTACTGGTAGATCTATATCTGAAAGGTAAAGTAGATCAATTAATTCCAAAGTGATTTATGGGGGATTTGTATAGAATTATCCACCCAAAAACTTAAATTTGATCAATATTTAATCACCCACATGTTATTCCAAACCGACCTTTATTCTGTGAAACACAAAAAGAAAAATGCTCTAAATTGAGTATTTGTATTTTATTGTACCTCATGAAAAAAGAACAGGAAACCTTTACATACGTGTGTTTCTGCAAGCTCTTCTTTTCACATCTCACATCAGAGGGTTTTCCCAGAGTGGATGTTTGAGGCTAGGCTAGGCCAAAACTCAAATAAATAAAGAGTTATTGGAATATGAACATAAAAGTTTAATGTTGATGATTGGACAAAAAGACAACAGTGTTATATATACAGTAAATATTTTTTTTCTTTGGCAACATACCTGCAAGGTACTTTAGAGCACGTGCTTTAGAAAAACACATAATTCATCACTTTTATATTGCATAATTCTGGTCTTATACAGATTATGTTGCAAAGATTTCACACTTCCCCATGTTTAAATGGCACAGGTTGCCCTGAATGCCAGCTGATCATTTGCATCCTTTGCGCAACAGGAAAGCGGCGCCTGGTTCCATGACGACATGTTTTTGCGTAATATTGCTCTCCCCGCTTCTGTTAGATTCTGATCGGTTCCATGAGGAGCAGCTTCAGCATCAGAAGCCTCCCACTCCCCGCCCTCGAGCTGGAGAACCCAGAGTCTCCAGCTCGAGCGCGCGCGGTGAGCAGGAGGCCGCCCACGAGCCAAACGCTGGAGAAACCGTGAGCAGCTGAACCGCGTTTTCCAAGCGCACCTCCGGTGGTTTGGCGCCGAATATCTGCAATTTACATGGAAATTGACGTCGCTTATTGCACGCTTCCTCACTATAATTTCATAAATATCCATAAAAGTGACATTTTGTGACACTTTAGTGAGGTAGATTCCGTCTTTTTTTAAATATGTCTCACAGAAGTGATGAAAAACTCATTTAAACATAACTGAAAACAAAAATACAATAATTGAAAACGAATAAATTATATATGTATATATATATATATATATATATATATATACACGTCATATTTTTATATACATATATTTTCGAACTAAATGTATAAAGAATTTATTCACATATAATATATTATAATTATTTTTTTATAATCGGCCCTGAATGGGTTAAACAACTGCGCGTTCTCTCTCTCTCGCTCTCTCTCTCTGTCCTTTCTCTCTGTGCGCTTCGTTTTCACTTTCTCATCGTTGTGTCTCCTTCATTCTGATGTGACCCACGCAATGCTGTTGCTCCACAAGGGGGGGCTGCAGGATATATGCTTTAGTGCCCAATTGCCTGCCTTCAAACACTGGATCCAGTTTGTGTGGACAGAGCGGGCGAGGAGAGGAAGACTCCTACTGCCTCGACACGCACCGAGAGAACACCCGACCCGAGCCTGGGCTACACTCACCGCATACCTCCCTGGAGCCTTCACACACCACTTCAGGACTTTTTATCCGGAAAACTGGACAACCATTACTACTTGCGGGCTGGATTAAATAATAAACATTTGGGGAACAGAGTAACATTATGAGAAGTGACAGAACAGACACACATTAACAGGATCCGCTGTGAATTTATGGATGCTTGTTGCTTTTTTCGGGCACCTCTCTTCCACTGGAGCAAACAGACCTTCTTTTGTGTCATTGTTCAAACAGATATTGCCTGTTGAAAGAATGAATACACCGAACTTATTCTGAACAAGTTGGAGGAATAGTCGAAGGCTTTTAATGTGCAGACAAGCAGATGGGACATGGCAACTTTTTGGAGGTAAACCCTCATTATGATCTATCTAGAATGTGATTAGGGGCCCTACATTTTCCCAATTTCAGCTCCACTCGACATGGTAATTAAATGAAATGCGTTTGCTTACACATCATAATATACTCATTAATTTAACCATAGTCTCGTATCAATTATGTCTTGTCAACAATAATTGAGTGATATCTCGTTCTACGCACGCACTTATGGAGACTGGGGTCATTCTCATCAACTCTGTTGCATCTGTTGTCTACTCTTTGTAAATGTGTTACATCAGATAATGGCACGACAAATCTGTATAATTCAGTTTGTAGAGGATTTCTGAACTCATGCATATATCTGTGCTTGGCGTTCTCGTCAGACAGCTTTCGCTCTCCAAGGTACCAAACTGCGGTGTTGACCAGTCCAGCGTCCCAGTGGACAAACAGTTTTGACATAAGAACATGATCTCAGAACAAAAACATTTGACAATTTTAGCTTTACACTGGTTATACATCGTGCGCAATAGTTGCTGTTCGGATCTCCCTTGTGGAATGGGAATAGCCTATACCTTTCTGTCTCGCGTCTCCTTTCCTTACACTACATAAATGGACAAACATGCCCTAATACTCGCAAAACTGTTTCCAACATTAACCTGGAGCAAAGTTTTCCTCAAGTTAAGATTTTCGCGACATAATACAGTTGTTTTTCACAACTTTTGTCTCTGTCTCTCTTTTTTTTCGTGTTGGTTACCATACAACACGTTGCCTGTATTGCTCTTGCATTCGGTTATTTTGATGCGTTTGGAGCATTTCTATGTGATATAACAGATATGTGACATATAGTCCACTTTAAATATTATTACAGAACCTGTCACATAGCAAAACACTTGCGATGCAGAGCCAGTGCAGCGTTCAGCACCACATGGAACGAAAGAAAAGGTAGAGAGCTCGTGTTTTGTCCGGTTCAGTGATGTCTCGTTTGAACAATGAGAATAAAAGGCAAACTTTCATTTTATCTCGCCCTCTTTAAATGGCAAAATACTTGATTTGCACGTTCCTACATGCAACATCACCAGTGAATAAATTAAAATATTTAAGAAAAATCAATAAATAATAACAAAGCCGCCAGCAGTCTTACTAAAATAATACTTGCAATATACAACATAAAACCATGAACAATGACTCAACTGCCGGCTCTCTTTTCGACTCTCACTCTCTTTCTCTTTCTATTAAACTGTCTTACCATATGCTGCTTGCAAAGTCTAAAGCAAGCTACGTGCGCCATTAGCTACACACCGACAGTATGGAGATTTCTCGTTTGGTAATAATAGATGTGGTGTGCTAGTGTTTGGAGGAGAGTTACTGATGGTGAGTGAGTAGAAGTTCCGTGTTTGTACAGTAGGGGGGACTGTGCCAGCGCTCAATTCCCTCCGTGGGAATAGGGGAATAAACGGCGATTACGGAGCAGGAGATGCCTCACTGCGCACTTTCAGGCTCACCAGAGCCTCTGACTGCAGCACACGCGACCTCAGCCCGTCTGAAGCACACAGCCGAGCTCCACAACAACAGGTTATGATGCTGCTCGACCTGTGTGCTCTACTCAAAACTAAATACCTACAAAAATATATTTTATCATCATCACCAAAGCAAAATGGTTATGAATGATTAGATACATAATACAAATTAAGTAATAATAATAATAATAATAAGCGGTGAAATAATATTAGTGAAACTCGCTGCCAAAATGTGCCTCTCAACAGTACACCCAGGGCCCACAGATCATTGGCCCATGTTAAAAGAGCCCACCTCAGTGTGTCTGTGATATCCTGGTGCAAAGATATGGCTGGTGCACATTGCTATATGGTTGCTAGGGTGTTCTGGCTGGTTGTTAGGGAGTGGCTAGGAAGTTTCTAGTGTGTTACTGAATGGCCTGAGTTTAAAGACCCACTTCTAAGTCTATGACATTCTGATCTGAAGACATGTCCCCTCTGATCTCCTTTTTTGAAGGTAAGTCTGGGATTCTTCAGATGCCTGATTGCCTTCTTCAATAAGCCACATAATTTGAGCTAAAATTATATAAAATATTAATAATTTGTAATAAGGAAAGATAATAAAATAAGCCATACGAGTTGAGCTCTCAACAATATAAATAATTTTAATAATAAAAAACAATACAATTAGCCATTTGAATTGAGCACTCAATAATATTGATGATTTTAATAATAAAAAGCAAAAATCATATGATTTAAGCTCTCAATAATAATAATAATAATAATTTTAATAATACAAATAATAAATTAAGCCATATGATTTGAGCTTTCATTAATATTAATAATTTTAATAATAAAAACAATAAAATAACTCTTTGATTTTAGCTCTGAATAATATTGATCATTTTAATAATAAAAACAAAAATTATTTGAGTTCTCAATAGTATTAATGATATTAATAATAATATTAATATTTCTAATATTATAAAAAAATATTAATAATATAAATAATAAGAAAAATAACAAAATAAACCACATGATCTGAGCTCTCAATAGTTGTATTAATAAAAAAAATAAAAAAATAAAAAAATTCTTTCTGTAACATCACCACAGAAAAAAAATGTCATGGTTCTGATTAATTTCGGTGAAATATGCATGTCACAATCTTTGTGTTAAATCTAAAAGACACAGTCATATCAGTTTCGCCCGACTGCCTCTTTTAGATACATGTCTGCCGTGAATCTCCAGGGAGTTTTGAGCTTAAGAGGCAAACATAGAACACAGCGCTTGCCCTGTGGCCACAGATATTTGGATGGCTGTGTTTTCTTCATCTGAGGAAAGGAGTAGGGATGATACATTGAGAATAAAAATAGATCATGCCAGAGTAGGCTGACAGCATAATTCTGAATCATGTGCTGGGGTGGAATTGGGCAAGCTGGCACTATTGGCTTTTTGGAGGGCAGCCATGCATGCCTTTTAACCTAGATGTCCCCCTTTTGTTTTTCACTTGTACATCCTTATTCTGTCGTTCACTTCCTCTTTTCGTATAGGTTATCCCTTTCTTATCCACCATTCCTCGTCAAGCCAACATGCATCAGAAGTCACAGAGCACAGCCACACCACATCTCATGCATAAGCTTCTCGACTAGTCTGTTTGTGACAGGTTCCTGTTCCCAACATATACAGAAACATTTCACACGCTCACGGCTTTGGTTTACACATCACCTCATGTACTAAAAATAGTGTTTGTGGCTTTTCGTAAAGAGAGACTTGGAAGGAAATTCAATACACAGTTTGATGACAGTCAATAAACAATGAAAGCATGCAGTCATCACCATCTTCTGATGTCTCATTCAATAAATCCACAATAATATATATATATATATATATATATATATATATATATATATATATATATATATATATATTATATCTCTTATATATATATATATATATATATATATATATATATATATATATATATATATATATATATATATATATATTATACACTAATAGTTATTGTAGTTGTATAATAGTTGTAATTGTTTTTGAACAAGTCTCTTTATTTGATCATAAATACAGTAAAATACAGTAATACTGTGAAATATTTTTTGCAATTTAAAAGAACAGTTTATATATATAAATCAATTGTACATCAATTTGATTTAATGTGACAGAAAATACATTTAATTTATAATGTTACAAAAGATTTCTATTTTTAAATAAATGTTGTTCATAAAACTTTTTATTCAGAAAAGTATCATGAAAAAGCCACAAAAACATTAAGCAGCAAAAACTCTCACCATTTAAAATAACAAGAACCATTACTAACTGAGCATTAATAATTGAGTACCAAGTCAGCTTATTAGAATTAACTTTGAAGGATCATGTGACAGAAGAGAAGACTGGAGTAATGGCTGCTGAAAACTAGGGAATAAATTGCATCTTAAAATATACTCAAATAAAAAAACTGAATTTTTTTATTGTGATAATATTTCACAATATTACTGTTTTTACTGTATTTTAGATCAAATAAATGCAGCCTTGGTGTGCATAAGAGAATTCTTTCAAACACATACGAAAATCATAAATATTCTAAACCTTTGACCGGTGCAGGAGAGATTAATTGGAAATATTTGAGTAGAACTGGGACACATTACAGGCCAAACCTTAACCTGCGTTGCCCACATGAGCACCACACTCAATGTGGCCACACCATGGCTCTGACATCCTATGCTATGAGTCCAATCAAGGCTCCGTGATGCTGCATAGATCCATTATACTATAGGTTGCTGACTATTTTGACCTCCTGTGATGTAGTTGGTACGAAGAGGGGGGCAGGTGTTGAAGGAATGAGGTCGGTATGTTTGCAAGGTGCTAGCCGATTAGTGGTGTGATTGTGCACAGGAGCATGTGGCCCCTGACCATCCTCGTTGAGCACAATGTTCAGGGTTGGAACATCGTGCATTTGGCCATTCGTTCTCTAATTAGGGTCTAAATCAGAGGCTGTGCTCCTGCCTAATGAATCTTAGACAGAGAGCTGAGAGACAAGGATAGCAGGCTTGGAATGAGGCGGCGAGAAGAACACAGTTCCCAGCATCCCATCTGAGGTCCTTGCCATTAAAGTATATTAATGACTGGCTTTTCAAACGCTGCACAGATGGCTTTGAGACTGTGTGTGTTTGTTTCGGTTTGGGTGTGTCGCATGATGCAACTTTGGTCGCTTAAGTGTAAAAGAGTAAATGTGAGTGTGTATTATGGATGCACAGTGAAGCCATTTTGTATTTATTGCAAAGACAAAATGGTCTTTATGAGATTCGGATGTGGGTGAGGCTTAAACCGGAAGTGTGTCCAAACTAACTGAAACGTCCAATTTTATCTTAATAAATCGTCAATCTTTTACATTTTTAAAAGAGAAAGAAATCAGCCTCATTGGTCAAAAAAATGCATGCTGCATTTACAATGTTACAAAAGATTTCTATTTCAAATAAATGCTGTTAATTGAACTTTCTATTCATTAATTAATAAATAAATA